GGGGGGACCAAGCGAGCTTGTATAAGAGACCCTCTGCTTTTGCATCGGACTGGCTCCCTGGCATGGTTTTTTGGGGATCTTGAAATCTGGGCATAACAGACAAGAAGTCTCACATGTGTCTCTTTCAGAAAATTAACACCAGTTCCTTACATTTGCGATGTGCTTTTTGTTTTCCAAATATTTTGACAAGGGGAAGGGTACAATGAAATGGTCCCGGGATTTAGAATCAGAAAACTAGGCTCGAGTCCTGAATCTGCATTTTTATTAACTTGGGACACCTTGGAGAAATTACTTTCTTCTCTGTAAAATAGGGATGATAATAATAATACCAACATAAGAGGGTTGTTGCCAGGGAAAAGTGAGATGAGGTCTGAAAGGATTTGGAGAATTTGAAAATATTTTGCATATGTAAATAGTTAATTCATTATTCTCTTTGTCTGCTATACATTGATGTAGAGAGGTACCACTTTCCCATTGGCAGGTGAAGCATAGCTTTCCCATGATCACCAGGAAGTGATTTGGCCAAGACTGGAACTTACCACTTCTAACTCAGAAAATCGGTTCTCTTTCCCTGACCCCACACAACTTGTCAAGCAGAAAAATGTTCTGGCCTTGAACCCTTCAGATGGCACGGACACACGCAATCCCTGTCCAACTGCCCAGTTTCCAACTGTGTTAAGTGGTAAGGCTGCTTAGTTTGTGGGAGATCTTTTCCAGTTCTCACTTTGGTTGAACATGTTCTGACTCAAGATCTCTTTGTGGGTGAAAAGCTTCTAGAATCTTTGAGACGTTTGCATAAGCATGCATGCACCTGTGTGTTTAACAGACTTGGCAGGTTTAGGTGTGTGGGACAAATGCACACAATCCTGATAAAAGGTCAAAATAATTGACTGAAGAAATCACTCTTTCAGTCTACGTTCGCTTTGACGGTGGTGCCAGGGTCACGCGGAGCTAGATGCTTGGCCTTAGCCAATGCAAATAGAGAAAAACAAACTTTTACACAATGTAGGTCAATTGAAAACCTAGAACTAATTGAAAGTCCCAAGAACAAGAGAAATCTAGAAAAATTCTGTTTCCCCCAAGATAACTTCACATGTAAAATAACAGAAAAGTAGATAATAGATAAATAAACACAACTATAACAGACTGATCTCAACAAAGCAAAATAGGAGTATCACTAGAATTATCAATATAGACTTCAAGGCAAAAAGATTAAGTAGGATAAAGAGGTTTACCATCTATTGATATAAGATAAAATCACCAAGAAAATATAATAGTATTCAGCCTTCACATACCAAATAAAACAGTGTTACACTAATATAAAGCATAAACTGTTAGAGAATATATGGATTTGAGAATAACAATCATAGGAGACTTGAATACTTCAAGTGGAGAAAATACTTCCTTTTTAAAGAAAATTTGTTTACATGCTAGCCAACAAAGAAAATCTCCTTCCTGTCTGTTGGCTGACTACTCCCACATGTGCTTTATCTGCATATTATAAATAAAATGTAAGACATTTTCCAACTCTACAAACTCTGAAGGGCAGGTACTAGCGCCTGAATGTATGTTGAAAGCACTCCATAACAGATGAATAAGTCGCTGACCAACATGGTTGAATGCATTACCAGTATCACATATGTCATGCTACAGGCATCACCAAGCACAATCACACCCAAAAGTACCTGCTCTGTCCTGCACCTTCCTCCTCAATGCTACCTAGGGACCCGTGGGGCTTTGTGGACCCTGGTAGCTGTGCACACTACAGGTTCTCTTCTCTCTGTCAGCAAACCCCAGTTTTTGTGCTAATTCCTGCAATTCACTAGGTCTGCACCCTGATCTTTCCTTTACCCAAGGGAGAAGTGTCACCCCCAGAAATGGGCACCACAGAAAATGTTTTCCTGGCGTGTGGCAGGTAGAAGAGTGTCATAACGAAGTGGGGTCTTGGAAACCCCTCTAGGTGTTGTCAGGGGAGTGGAGCAGGGGATTTGTCAGTAAGGCCTTGCCTGTCTGGTGGGCTTTGGTAGTTAAACAGTAGGTGGGGCTGGCACGTTTCAGAGGTCCCAGCATAGAGCAATCAAGATGACAGTACCCTAATCAGAATCAGCTTACTGAGGCCCAAATTAACCCAGTGTCACCTGTCCCCTGACTGGCTCACTAATCCAATAGTGATTTAGTAATAATGATATTCATATTCTATCATCTCATTTATTGGCTAGAGTAATTACTCTTTACATATCTTGGATATTTACACTAGTAACGGTAAAGGGATTTTTAAAACAACACTCCCTGAAAAAGTTTTCCAAACATATTGAATGTTTAATAGAAGCCAGAGAGAGGGGAATTAATACAAATCTTGACCCTTAGTCTCTGGTTTTGGCTCTTCCTAACTGACTTCTGACTTCTCACTTGAGATTAGTCCAGTTAGGACTATGTGGGAATGCAACCTCATGGCATTTGAGTAGTGATGGCACTCTGGGACAGCACTGGCTTGGTTTTGTTAATGTATGTGTGTGGGTGAGAGAGAGAGAGAGAGAGAGAGTGTGTGTGTGTGTGTGTGTGTGTGTGTGTGTGTATGTGTGTGTGTGTGTTTGCATCTTGCAGTGGGGGCCAGGGTATACTTCTTATCTTGGGAAAATTTTCCCTGACCACTTTCTGCAGGCTTTATTTTCCCTCAGGGCTTGACCAGCTCTGTCCAATAGTAGGATTAAGCAATCTACTTATTATGAAATATAATTTTTAGTAGCCACATTAAATAAAGTCAAAACAGGTGAAAGTAATTTTAGTTGTATATTTCCACCCATTAGAGCCAAGCTATTATGATTTCTAAATGTCATCAGTGTACACATTAAGTTCATTTACATTTTTTGTGCTGAGTCCAGAAGTCCAGTTTGTACATCCCATTTATAACATACTCTCGCTTTAGATTTTTTAAGATTCACAGCCATAAAATAATATTCACATAAATAAGTTATCCAAATATATTTACAAGTTTCCCACTTAAAGATCATGTCAGATGAACAATGAAAAGTTCCTGTTGGGTCTAGTAACAAAGGAGTCATTGTGACCTTAGCCTAGAATGGTAAGGGCAGGTGGCAGTGCGGCTGAGGCTGTTCGGAGGAGGAGGGTGAAGGTGAGGCCACAGAGACACATGCTGCAGATGACCTTTCTCAATGGTTCACAACTGAGGGGTGGGAGTAGAAAGAGCAGTGGTTGAAGAAGGGTCCAGGGAGACCAGGTGAGAAATTTCCATGTAGTTAGGAAAGACTTGCAGCTATGTAATGCTGAGGGAAGGATTCAGTTCATAAAGAGAGATTAAAAGTATAGGGATGCCCTAGTCGTTTGGTTCAGTGGATAGAGCAATGCCCTTAGACTGAAGGGTCCCGGGTTTGATTCTGGTCAAGGGCACCTACCTTTGGTTGCAGGCTCGATCCCCAGCCCTGGTCAGGATGCATGTGGGAGGCAACCAGTTGATGTTTCTCTCTCACTGTCTCTCCCCCATCTCTTCTATTCTCTGTAAAAAAAAAAAAAAAAAAGTCAATGGAAAAATATCTTTGGGTGAGGATTAACAAACAACAAAAATAAGTATAGGGGAAATACGGAAATGTTGGTGGGAAGAGCTTAATAAGAAGGAAGAAGAGATGAGATCCAGATCACCACTGGATGATAAAAGAAATTTAAGTATTATTAGAGCAAATTGGGAAGCAATAGACGCTTATCAGAGATACTTGCAGATTTGGCAACTACGTAGGTAAAATTTCAATCTAGTAGTATTTTCACAAGTTTTATGTGAAATAGCAGACCAATTAAGGGATATCAAATATATATGAAAGAAAAAAGTGGAGAAATTTTGAAACAGGCTTTAGGAAAAATTGAGTAGTAAATATGTCAACACATAAAAAGAAAGTAAAATTTTCAGGCATTCTGGGTGCTTCATGATAGATATAGGTGATTTTGTTGTATTAACAGTGGTACCCAAATATTGTGCAATTATCTTAAGACCAGCAGTAGCTATTGCATAACAGATAATCAGATCTTTAAATTTGAAGTTTTACAAGGTAGACATGATGAGTGGTAAAGAATTTTGGACTATTCCAGGGAATTATTGAGATCATAGTCCATGGAATCCAGGATTAATAGGAATGTGTGTGTGTTATGTGCCATTGAGTCAGCTCCGACTCCCAGCAACCCTATGAATGAGTTAGGTCCAACAGCCCTGTTCTGTCCTCAACAGCCCTGTCCAGCTCCTATAGATTCATGCCTATGGCTTCTGTTATGGAGTCAGTCAATCTCCAATTTTTCTTCCTCTTTCCCTGCTGCCTTCTATTTTTCCCAGGATTATTGTCTTTTTCAAAGAACCATGCCTTCTAATTAATACAAAGTGGGGAAATTAAGATAAGAATCTGGTGAGCTGGCATAACTTGCAATCTAGAAGAATGGTTATCTATTGTATGAGTGTTTAAAAATATTAGAAATCAGACATTTGTAGTAGGTGAATATGTTTTCTGAATTATTTATTTTTGAACATGAGCAAACTTCTGGGATATGGGAGTGAGTCACTAAAAGTGGGTTGGTTGGTGATATCGCTAATGATTTTAGCTCTGAAATCCAAGTGGTCAATGGGTTAACCAAATGAATACTCACATAATACAAAAGAATGGTAGGAATTTGGACTTAGAAAAAGATTGGGTACTGTGTATCATGAGAGAATACCAAGACTAAATCAGGTGTAGTGAAAGTGACAATGACAAAAAGAGAATAAAATCATACTCATAAAGAAGAGGGTCTTATAAGATGTTGGAGGATAAATGATCTGGACTAGGTTCTGGGTTTTGACCTTGAGGTTTCTGTTCTTAACAAATCTGCTTGATGATTTCCCAGGATGCTGGTGAGATCTATCCCCAGAGGGAGGGTGGAAGTACAAGACAGCTGAAGTAATTGTCCCAAGAAGGCAAGCTTCATTTATCATGTAGATCCAATTTCACAATTTATTTTTATAGAATAAATGGAAAAGAGATACGATGGTCAAGACTTCACAGAGGAAGTGTCATGATTGGGTAAACCAATCCAAACCAAAGCCTGACTTAAGCATCTCCATCCCATTGAGGATGTCCAGTAACATATTCAAGAGTCCAGTTACGAGAATCACATCCCACCCAGGCAATGAGGTCAGATATCATCAGTGGGAGGAAACCTTGGACAAGCCCCAACAGGTGTGCTGGCAGAAGAGACTTCAAGGACTCCAGGCCTGCAGCAGCACAGGACAACTCTTAAGTCCTTTCGATCTTACCAAAGCCCTGCAAACACTTGTGCCTAGTTGCACAGGCGAGTCCCTGCCTGGTGTTCTCACAGGGGGTCCTCACGGCAGCTCCATGTCCAACCCTGCCAGGTCCTCACATGGGGCAGAGATGATTCCAGGAGCTGGTCTGAGCATCCCACAGCTCCCCTGCAAACAATTCCTGGTAACTGAGAAAGATATCAAGAAACAGGAAAGGAAAATGAAGATGGCAAGAGAGAGACTGGCGAGAGCGTTAATTGCAGACAGACTCGCAAGTGAGACAGAGAAAGTGAGGGACCAAGAAGAACATCCTGAAAAACACTAGGAAAAAAAAGAGAAGACGGTGCAGGTGAAATGGAGAACAACACGTTGTTAATGTCTCTTTGCAGTGTCCCTAATGTTTTCTTGCTTTGAGCTTTTAAAACTTTAAAATATACCAATGCGTTTCTGTATTAAACTTCTTCATGTGACATAGGATATATAGACAGTGATCTTTTTGAAGTGAGAGATTTGGTTCCAGGTGAAGAGAGAAAGATCTTTCCTTTTCATATTGTACTCTCATTTTCCTTTGCTATGTGTGTTATTTACTTGTATTTTAACGTCAACAGAGAGTTATCAAAGTCATGGGATTATTTAGTGTTTTGCCCTCATAGTCACAGAGTAAAACCTACCAGTCAGAATGACTTTTCCTTTTTGTGTAATATTCCTGTAGATTCCAAAATAGTATTTTATTAAGGAGCTCTTATATTTATGTTCTAAAATAAGATATCTTCTTCTAGGTCTGTATTTTTTCTGTCCTTTGTTGCACATTAACTTAGAGTTGCATATAATGAAATACCAGACTTTCCTTCATTTTTTAGATTTATATGTGTTTCAATTTAGTTCATGAAGATTGACATGCCATTTGGGAGATTACACTATCAAGAGAGACTGTTTTCAGCATCATTGATCTAACAATGAGCTACTGCTTGTTGGGATTTATTTGTTTATTTACCTGATCAAGCATGTTGTATTATCAAATCCTCTTTATCATTACTAAATTTGTGTGACATATTTATCACTTCCTGAGAGTAATTAAACAATAATAGAGTACCTATAGTATTTATATCTTCCCTAAAAATGAGTTATTTTTAAATTGACTCTTCTCTCCTCTATTCTCCCATGTGGTAATCATCTGAAATTTTAGTTAGAATGTGTTTTAATGTCTTTCATTAAAATTAATACTAATTTAGTTACACTAATTTTCTTCTTTTCCTCATTATTTATGTTATATTTTTCTAGGCTTACATTTCTTCTTCCTGATGTACATTCTTTACTGGTTCTTTTACTGAAGGCCTGTGGGCGGTTACTCTGAGACTGTCTGTATGCCTGAAAAGGTCTTTATCTCTCTCTTTGACAGATAGTTTGGCTGGGTATTTAAATTAGGTTCTTAGCAATTTTTTTCTTCTTTGTTAAGTTTAATATTTCTGATATTATCATTATTTAATATTATCATTATTATAATCTTTAGAGAAAGCATTCCTGAGAATGACTAAGGAGGTGAAGCTCACACCAAAAATGTGTGAATGGGTAGCATTAGTGTAAGTTTAATTTTTAGCCCTTGGGTATCTTCAGCTGTGGTCTTCTATGTAGAGATCATGAAGTCTATTCCCACACACCCAAAGCAGGACAGCACATGCCTGCGATGCTTTGGGCTGCTTGTTGGGCAGCCTCTGCTAGAACTGTCTAATTGAATTCAATGCAGAGAAAGATGTGGGTGGGTGTGGGGAAAGACTTAATTGTTTTTCCCAGAAGTTTTTCCCCCCTGAGTTTTATTCATCTTTACATCCAAAGCAGGCACGGTCTTTATAGCCTTGATGTTACTTGGACTCAGGCTTCCTTCTGCTACTCTGCAATGGAGGTTAGGAAGACAATGTCTGGAACTCAGGAGATTCTTTAGCATCTTTCTTAATATCACCATGCCCTGTGATTAGTGTCAGTGGAAAACTACCAAAAAAAAAAAAAAAAAAAAAAAGCAATCCAGGCAGTATGACTAATGACCCAGACCCTTCAGAGCCCCCAACTAGGCAAAGAACCTCAAACTGCTGAGGTGCTTGATCAGGACAAAGGTACTATGAAATGGGAAATGGAAGATGTTAGCTATAAATACCAGCTATGAAAAGGTGAACAGCTGCAAAAACATGTATTTGATGGTTATGAGTATTCTCTATTCTGTTATGAATAAGTTTGAGTACATCATATATATTATACCATATAATGTGTACATGTGTATTAGTATATTAGTGTCTGAAACTAATTGTGCATAAAATTCGTGCATGGGTAGGGTCCCTAGGCCTGGCTGGCGATCAGGGCTGATCGGGGCCTTCTGGCTGTTGGCCGGGGTCTCCCTTCCCTGGCTGCCGGCTACCGGTCAGGGCCTTCCTTCGTTCTGCGCTGCTCCCTGGGGGTCAGTACACATCATAGCAAGCAATCAAACTCCTGGTCTCCTGGTTGAACTCCCAAGGAGACAATTTGCATATTAGCCTTTCATATATATATACTAGAGGCCTGGTGCACAAAAATTTGAGCACTCGGGGGGGGGGGGTGTCCCTCAGCCTGGCCTGTGCCCTCTCACAGTCTGGGACCCCATGGGGGATGACCATCTGCTGGCTGAGGCCTACTCCCCAGGGGATTGGGCCTAAGCTGGCCATCAGACATCCCTCTGGCAGCCCGGCAGCCATTGGGGGATGTCCACTTGCTAGCGGGAAGCAGACCTAAGCTGCAGTCAGACATCCTTAGCGCTGCTGAGGAGGCAGGAGAGGCTCCCACCACCACCACTGTACTGGCAGCCGTCAACCTGGCTTGTGGCCGAGCAGAGCTCCCCCTGTGAGAGCGCCCTGACCACCAGAGGGCAGCTCCTGCATTGAGCATCTACCCCCTGGTGGTCAGTGTGTGTCACAGTGACCAGTCATTCCCAGTCTTTCTGCTGTTAGGTCAGTTTGCATATTACCCTTTTACTATATAGGATAGAGGCCTGGTGCATGGGTGGGGGCTGGCTGGTTTGCCCTGAATGGTGTCCCGGATCAGGGTGGGGGTCCTGCTTGGGTGCCTGGCCAGCCTGGGTGAGGGGCTGATGGCTGTTTTCAGGCTGCCTGCACCCCCTTCAGGGTGGGGGTCCCCACTGGGGTGCCTGGCCAGCCTGGATGAGGGGATGATGGCTGTTTTCAGGCTGCCCTCACCCCCTTCAGGGTGGGGGTCCTCACTGGGATGCCTGGCCAGCCTGGATGAGGGGATGATGGCTGTTTTCAGGCTGCCCGCATCCCCTTCAGTGTTGGGGTCCCCACTGGGGTGCCTGGCCAGCCTGGATGAGGGGCTGATGGCTGTTTTCAGGTGGGCCAAGCCTGCAATTGAAGCTCCCATTCTCTCCTTTTTTTCTTTTATTCTGGGATTTATTTACCTTCTGTAATTGAAACTTTGTTGCAGCTCCAGCTCCGAGGCCGGCTGGCTGAAAGCAGGTTTCTGGGTTTGTTTAGCTTCTATAATTGCAACATTGTTTCTTAGAGTGCAACTCAGAGCCTGGCCACGCAGACAGGGAACCTTGGCTTCATCCATCACTGGAGCAACCAAGCCTAATGTTCACTTCAGCTGCCTGGCTGCCGGCCACCATCTTGGTTGGCAGTTAATTTGCATATCACCCTGATTAGCCAATGGGAAGCGTAGCGGAGGTATAGTTAATTACCATGTTTGTCTATTATTAGATAGGATAGATATGATATATAATATGTAATATATAATATGATATATAACGTAATATGTTATATATAATGTATGTAATGTATAAATATAAAATGAATATAATATATATATGTATATATATAATGTAAAAAGTAGAATATTTAAAGAAGGCTGCTGAGATAGACTCTTGCTGCAAATGTGGTCCCTTCTTGTTGACTATCAGTGCATTTTGGGCCATTGGAAACCCAAAAAAACAATAAATTATCCCCTCCGGCCATATGGTGGGCACAAGACTTATTAAATATTCCTACATGTAGGGTTGGGTCTCAGGAGCCTCATAGCCCTGCAGGAGAAACCTATCGGTCGCCCATGCCTTCTTCTCAGCCCTGGGCTAGCCCTGGGAACTGGCACTTCTCTTTCTCTTTGGAGGCAAAGTACAGCCTTATCTGTCTTTACTTTAGATAATCACTTTGCTGGGTGGCTGTGCCCTATCACGAAAGGCCTGGGCTGCCAGGAACCAGAGTTTATCCTCAGCTCTGGCTGTCCTGAAAAGGCCTTCCTGGCAGAGTCTGCCTGATGAGTGTCTGGGTGACATTTGCAGCCATCAGAAAAGAGGGAGGTCACTCAGAAGTGCCAAGCAATTCATCTGGCCCTTGCTCTTATAGGATATTTCCAAGAGATAATGTTCCAAATGCAAGTGGTAAGCCTTTAGTTCCTGATCATGGGGTGGGTATTGGGGGTAAATGCAAAGCAGTGTCTGTTTTTCACCCAGATTGAAAACATTCACTATGTTAATTAATACTAATACTTCCCACCACACCCTCCATGACATGCACACAGCACAAGACTGTGGAAAAGATACAGCCATCCCAGGGGCTACAAGCTCTAGGGGCTCAGGTTCAGCATCCCTTTTAGGTTTCATTGGTAGCAACACAATTGAGCACGTAAGCTGGTGATTGTTTGAGACCATGAGCCTCAGAACCACAAGGGCCCAGAAATTACCTTGGGCAGCAAGGGAGATTATGGGGACATTCATTGGCCAGGATTATGGTCTCACCCTGTCAACCCTGTGATCCGGCAGGCCCAGCCAGGCAGGAGCAGCCACAATGTACTTGCTAGAGAGGCTGGCAGCCTCCTAGAAAATTCCTGCCTTAAAGACAATTGTATGAGGAGTTGCAGGACTGATGGAAGTTCTAGATCAGGGGTCCTCAAACTACGGCCCGCGGGCCACATGCAAATACAAATATTGTATTTGTTCCCATTTTGTTTTTTTACTTCAAAATAAGATATGTGCAGTGTGCATAGGAATTTGTTCATACTTTTTTTTTTAACTATAGTCCGGCCCTCCAACGGTCTGAGGGACAGTGAACTGGCCCCCTGTTTAAAAAGTTTGAGGACCCCTGCTCTAGATGATAGGGAGCATTGTTTATGGAACAAGGCCCAGCTGTCGCCTTAGAAGTTGTATCACAAATCTTTCCCCTGATAAGAAACAAGCAAGAAAGGAATCTCCAGATCCTGGACACGAATCCCAGGAGGATTCAAATGTAGGTAAAGGATAATCACTGAGGCCTTGAGCGGCCGGAGGATGGAAAGTGCTGCCTGCCCTTAGTCCATTCGCAAATGATCTTCCTCTAGCCCCATCCTCTCCATATGCACGTTTTAATCTTTGTATGTTGTTTTCCCTACTTAGTGCTGATGCACTTCCAGAGGTTGACCCAACAGACCACAAGTTCCTAATCTTTGGTCAAAAGAAACCTCAACAAGAGAAGAAGAAAATGTTCCCTCTGCCTTTGGAGCTGCCCAAAGGCAGCCACTGACCTGGGACAGGACGTGGTCTTGGCAATTGTTTTGAAAGCCACCTCCATATCCACCTCCCTAAATCCCCAGGAGTTCTGAGGGGCTGTCCCTGCCCCTTGCCCAGGTAAAGGATGCTGAAATGAACCTCTCCTCTGTGTAAGGGGTACCTGGGGGTGTCAAGAGCCAGGGAGGGCAGCTGGCCCTTCTCCCTTCTCCCATATATAATAAGCTGATGACCGTGCAAGATTTCTGAATTCAAGGAGGAATGTGAGATTCTGAATCTCATTTCAATGGGCACAGGAAAGTGAACTATATATACCACAACTCCCAGACCGTTCAAGAAACAGGATTTTAATATTCAAATCTAACACTTACTATTTACAACCTGATAAATATTGCCTCTCCCCAATAAGTAACAGGTGCTGGGGGAGACATGTCAGAGATATGGGATGAGGTCGACCCCTCCCTCTTGGGCTTCAAGGAACCCTAGAAGGTTCATAATGTTCTCCTCCCAGGAGAGTTGAGAGGAGCTGACCAGTGCACCCAAGTGTCCAAGCTGTGCCCCACTGCTGGGGAAGGGGCTGCACTTGAGCTGGTCTCCAGAGTGGGATCTGCCCCTGGTGTTTGGTTCTGTGTCAGGGGCCTGGTGGCTGAATAGAGTCAGTTTATGTTGTGGGGCCTCTGCAGGAACCACAGCCTTCTTCCCTGCGCTGAGTGCTCAGTCAACTGTACTCCATTTGTTTCTGACCTGAGGGAAGTCATTTAGCATCACCCATTTCACAGAAGAGAAAACTGAGTCCCAGAAAGGTG